GTTTATCAGGCCTAAACAGACCAACCAGTGAAGGGAAGGATTTTCAACAGCCAGGCTTGTAAGGGAAAAACTGCCCCTGTCCTAGAGCCATGCAACTCAGCCTTTCTTAGATTCTGCCAGGAGCCCAATCTCAGCAGGAAGGGGCCACTGGGAGTAGAGAGTGGGGGAGGTGCCAGTCAGGTTGGGGGAATTTGCGGGGTGTGGCCCCAGTTGCACAGCCACACAACTCAGACTGTCCCAGATTCTTCCTAGACCTCAGCAGGGTGGATCCACTAAGGGACAAGAGGGTGGAGCTACCAGGAGCTTTGAGAGTGGGCGTAGCAGATCTACAGTGAGGGAGAGGCACCACAGCTAAGATATCCCTCTGGAACCTCAGTCACTGCTGTGGAAGTGAGGCCAGCCTTTTTTTCATTTCTGCACTTCATACCAGTCTCCATGAGGCATCTTCTGTAAATCCTTGATTACAAGACTTCTCATCAGGTAGTCTTCAGTTTGTTATTCAGGTTGATTGCTCTATATTTTAGTTGTACTTCCAGTTTTGTCATGGGAGGAGATGGGTGTAGCTTCCAACTACTCCATTGCCACCTTAGTCCATCCATCCTTTTTTTTTTATCAAAGGCCCAAATTAGAACCAATTTATTTGCTGCATTAAATCTAGCTGCATTTTGACCTGATTATTTGCATAAACACAACAAGAATATTAATTAACCATATAGGCTTTCTTAAGTCTTCTTTGCTGGAATCTAATAGGTAATCTCCATGCTGAACTTTTAATTAGTCTCTCAGGGCAAAGAAGCCAAGCCACGTAGTTGTCATAATGCTTTGCCTGCAATACCTATAGGTTTGGATGAATTACTCAGGTTCTTGAAATCCCCAAAAATGCCACCTCCCAGGAAAGCAACCTGTGCTTCTTACCTGGAAAGATTGTTATAAATTATTTTAATAAGCAAGGCACCAGGCTGTTTCTTCAAAGAGCTTTTATCAGCTTCCAAAGTCAACCTTAATTCCTTAAAGCTTTATGGTGACAATCAGAGTCTAGGCATATCTTTCAATCATGACATTTGGTAGAGACGGCACAAGGTATTTTTTCATTTGCTCTGGACAGCTTTCAAGAAGACTAGGGAAGGTCCTAAGTACTCAGCAAGAAGGCTTGGTGAGACCCTCAGTGAAAGTTTTAAGGGCTAGGAATGAGCAGTGGAAAAGAAAATCTAAGCCCCAATTCAAGGGGTTACATATGTAACATCCCAAAGAGTTGTTTAAATGGGAAAGAGAAACTCGATGACAGAAGATGTGACATGACAAGAGTGAAGTTGTCATAATCGGTGTAATAAATGCTCCAGATAGAGGACTGGGAGTTATAATATGAGTCAACATAGTATCATTCAGGAGGCCGATTAATACACCTTAAACAAGTTCCAGGAAGTTGGGTCTCTAATAGAGAGAGAGAAATACAAAGAGAAATTGTGTTTGTCTTGTGTGAAATGTGGTATTTCTTTTTCATTATGTTATGGGTTACAACCACCCAGGAAACTTTTACATATACAGGTGCAGGGCCCCAACCCCTAAGCTTTGAATGCAGGTGTCTTAAGTTAGGGCCCAGACATCAAAGTTCTTCTTTTTTTGAAAGCCCTGTAGCCAGGGTAAAGAAACATTATCCTGTGAACACTTGTGTTCATGTAATAACTGCATTGAAAAGATATTTCTTATTCTTTAATTAAGATATAATTGACATATACCATTATATCTGTTTCAGGTGTACGGCATAATGAATCAATATTTATATATATTGCAAAATGATCACCATAGTAAGTCTAGTTAACATCCATCACCTCACATAGTTACAATTTTTTTCCCGTGATAAGAACTATTAAGGTCTCCTTTAGTAACTTTCAAATATGCAATTCACTATGATTAACTATTATCCTCATACTGTACATTCCATACCCAGAATTACTTATTTTATAAGTGTAAGTTTCTATCTTTTAACCATTTTCACCCATTTTTAACCACTCTTCACTCTCCATGTCTGGCTACTATCAGTCTGTTCTCTAAATCAATGAGTTCATTTTTTTTCAGATTCCACAGATAGGTGAGATCATGTGGTATTTGTCTTTCTCTGTCTGACTTATTTCACTTAGCATAGTGCCTTCAAGTTCTATCCATGTTGTCACAAATGGCTAGATTTCCTTTTTATGGGTGAATAATATTCTGTTGTATATTTATCCAGTCATCCATCATTGGACACCTAGGTTGTTTCCATGTTTTCACCATTGTAAATAATGCTGCAATGAACATGGGGGTGCAGACATCTTTTCAAATCAATGTTTTCATTTCCTTTGGATAAATACCCAGAAGTGGAATCGCTGGATCATATGGTAGTTCCATTTTTAATTTTTTGAGGCATCTCCATGCTGTTTTCTATAATGGCTGCACCAGTCTCCATTCCCACCAATTGTGTGCATATGTTTCCTTTTCTACACATCCTCTCCAGCACTTGTTATCTCTTGCCTTTTTGGTGGTAATCATTCAAACAGATATGAGGTGTTATCTCGCTGTGGTTTTGATATGCATTTCCCTTATAATTAGTGATGTTGAATATCTCTTTATGTACCTGTTGGCCATCTGCATATCTTCTTTGGAAAATGGCTATTCAGATCGTTTGCCTATTTTTTAATTGGATTGTTTGGAGTCTTTTTGCTATTGAGCTGTATGAGTTCTTTATGTATTTTGGATATTAACCTCTTATGAGATATATGATTGATACTTTTTATTTCCTGGGATCTCTGAACAGTCACTTTGCCTTTTTTGTGCTCAAGCAGTCAGTCTTCCAGATGACCATTTGTCTTCAAAATTTCAGGACTATTCAGCAAATGCTGAGCCTCCACTGGCTTGAACAGCCACTGATGTCTTTATGTTTCTGGTAACCCCTCCTGCCTGGCCACAAAACAGACACCCCTGAGCTCCCAAGCAACCTGTGTCTCCAGGGACTGCCTGGCAGAGTACAGAGGATAATGATCCATATGCATAAGAGAGCTGGCTCTAGAGATCAAATTTCATTGCTTCTCAGCCTTTTGGCTAAGATCAAGTGTGGAGATCAAATTCCAGCATATTCATATACTATTTAAATGACCTAGGGCAAATCACTTTATGTTTCCTAAATCTCAGTTTTATCATCTGTAAAACAGAGATTAAAAAGAAAAAAATACAGAGCCCCATGCCTAGCCCAAACTCCTTTTCCTTTTATGTTGATAAAAGGAAAGGGTTGCTGAAAGGATTCAATGAAATAATTTATTAAAAAGTTATTAGAGGATATAGCCATTGCCTGTCGCATAATAGCTTTGAATGATAGCCTTGAATTGTTAGCTGTAACAATTATTGTCATTCCATTCCTTATATTCTGGCCTGGTCTCTAGGCACCCCCTGATGCCTCGTCCAGGAACCTCCCTGACAATGACAGCCAAACCTGCACTACACAGGTCCCTCCACTGTCCTCCCCACCTGTACCATCCACTGTGGTAGCCACTAGCTCAGTGTGGCTATTTACGTTTAAATTGCATAAATAAAATTTTATTTTTGTTCTTTATTCACCATAGCCACATTTCAAGTGCTCAGTAACATATTTTACCATGTTGAGCGGTACAGATATAAAATATTTCCATCATCACAGAAAATTCTACTGGGCAGCACCACTAGAGACTGAGAATCGGTTTCCTACTCCCCAATGGAACCACTGTAGAGATGGTCTGTCTTCTCTAGTTTCAGTCCAACCTGTACTAGCCCAAACCTTGAAGACCTAGGCTAAATGCAGTTCAAAACAAGAGAGGGCACAAAGCTGAATTGAGGCACGGGATAAGCATCTGTGTTGTCATGATGAGTTGCAAGAAAATTTTTGTTTCAAACCAAACCTGAGGACCTTAAAAGTTGGTGCTGTATGTTACTAGCTCTTTGTTTCGCCTCCATTGATTGTCATGTGTTATTGTCAGCTTTTCTAGTTTAAACAAATCTTTATTTTAAAACTAAAAGGGGAGGTGGGGGAAGATGGCCCTGTAATTGATGTGGAAAGAAGCATTAGTTAACCATCTCGATTTTTTTTTTTAATTCTTGCAAATAATTATCTATGTTTGTTGACTATGAATGCTACTTGTTTTATAATGATTGTCTACTACTATCAAAGTACATAATTGGTTAATTTATCATTATAAAATTGAATTTAAATTTGAATCAGTAATCATGGCTAATAATTATATCTAAATACTGTCATATTTGTACCTATCTATTAATAGGGAGAATAATATACTTATTGCCCTTATTTAACTGTACAAATTAAAATTTTATGCCATTTAATTATAGTATATATGAAATACAATGGAGTTTTAATCACTTTATAGCCATGGACATGAAGTAATTATACCACTGAACCTTATATATGTTGGAGAACATGTCTCTGGAAATGCAAAACATATAACAGTGGCATATTAAGGTTATACAAGATTTTAAAAACCCGCCTCTGAGAATGTCCATAACAGCTTTATTTTTAATAGTCCAAAACTGGAAACAATCCAAATTCCCATTAATAAGAGAATAGATAAATAAATTGTTGTATAATCATACAAGGAAAATCATAAGGCAATAAAAAAATAAACCTCTGAAACAAACACCAACCTGGATAGATGAGTATCACACACCTTATGTTGAGTGAAAGAAGCAGATACAAAGGCAAATATTTGTTTTGCTCATTGAGAGTTTAAGACTACTTGATGGTGATAAAAATCAGAATAGTGGTTAATTTGACAGAAAGGGGCAGGAAGAAAATTTCTCAGGTCATAAAAATATTTAATATCTTGATCTGGGTGGTAGTTGCATGGGTCTTTGCATATATAAAATTCACCAAGCTGTACACTTAAGATACGTGTTCTTTATATACTTTATGTATGCTCTACCTCAATAAAAAGAAAAGTGTGAAAATATGTGCTCAAAATGATCTCTTTTAATCTTGCTAGAAAATTTTATCTTATGATCTGATTAAATATGATGTGGAGAAAGATGAACCTGCCCGAGATGAAAATGGATATTGCATAAAAGTTCCTAAAGGTACGGTGAATTTTTGTTCAATTAGCCTGTCATTTTCTTACCTTGACTAAGTGACTAGTAAGAACTAGCCTATCGCTGCCAAAATGAACACCTGGTAAACTTCATCAGAGTGGGGGAAAGGACTTATTTTTGTACTCTCAGAAATAGTTACAGAAACTCCAAAAGATACTAATTTAACCACTACATGTAACATAATTATTGTTTGAAACCTAGCTTAACAACTTCTTGATTGTGAGGTAAGCATTTTGTGGGAAGGGATATGTAATTCTGGTTGCAAAACTATAGTTTTAGGGAGTCTCTACCTTTAAGCTTAAACTGCTGTTCATTTGTCTAATTTTGTGTGTAAATCATTATTCAGTACGAGGTTAGCATGTTAAAAATTACAAACATGTGGCCGTATAGAATAATGTACTGTGTGTATGGTGTATATCATGTATATGAATACACATTTACATGTGCAGCCAGCTTGCTGCTAATTAGGTGCACGGCATCAACTTATAAGGAAAAGGTTAAAAATAAAATTCACTGACAGCTAGCACATGAAATAACAATTTTTCTTCTGTCTTAGGTGAAGCTGGACTCCTGGTTTGCAAAATCACACAATTTACACCATTTGTTGGCTATGCTGGAGGAAAGACTCAAACGGAGAAGAAAAAACTGAGAGATGTCTTTAAGAAAGGAGACGTCTATTTTAACAGTGGAGATCTCTTGATGATCGACAATGATGATTTCATCTACTTTCACGACAGAGTTGGAGATACATTCCGGTTGGTTTCTCTGAATCATTGAGAAACATGCACAATTTGGCTTACTCTTAAATTGGAACCACATTCCACTTTGGTTATGGTTCTCTCTTAGTGTGTCAATTCGACCTCCGGTATTCCTACAAAAAAAGGAGCAAAATACAGGAGGGAGTGATCTACAATACGCAGATGAAAATGAGAGCCTAGCCCTGGCTGGTGTGACTCGGTGGATTGAGTGCCAGCCTGTGAACCAAGAGGTCACTTATTCGATTCCCAGTCGGGGCACACACCTGGGTTGTGAACCAGGTCCCCAGTAGGGGGTGTGTGAGAGGCAACCACACATTGATGTTTCTCTCTCCCTTCCCCTCTCTCTAAGAATAAAATAAACAAAATCTTTTTTAAAAAGAAAAGAAAAGAAAAAGAAAATGAGAGCCTAAATAGCTTAGTCTGTCTGATTCTTCCATTATGACTGGCCACTCTTAGGAGAGCCGGGGATTTTCAGTTTTCAATTATGGGGCTTTTCTTCAGATAAAGATCGAATGCGAATTAAGGTGGAGCTGACTTAGCTGAAGAGAAGATATGGGGTTCCAAACCCCACCTGCTCCCTCCCTCACACTCTCCATCCCCAACCAGGTTGTTTCCCTCTGTACACACAGGTCAGCCCAGCCATTGGAAAGTCATGGTAATAAACCGTGAGACTAATTCGCAAGAGCAGCACAGTCTTGCAGCCTCATAACACTTCTGTTTCATCAGCTTCCTTCCTGCATGAACTCCCCGAGGCCAGGCCCCAGCTCCTAACACAGTGCCTGAAACACATAATTATTTTTTGCATGAATTAATGAGGAAGAGAGAAAAGTTATCTGGCTGTAGGAGGAAGGGTGGGATAGGAATGAGGAGAACTGAGCTCCCAGGCTCACCTCTGCCCCTGACCTTCTGTGTTAGCAAGGCAGGCAACCTTTCTTGACCTCAGTTTCTTCACCCATGAAATGCGGGTTTCCGTGATCCTCAGGGTTCCTTCCATCTTTATTATTCCATGACTCAGGACCCCTCGTATTATCTTATGCCACACTCATGTTACTGAAAAAATAGTTCTGAGAGATCTAAAGAATTTTTTAAATGTAAAACATAACTTCATGAAGTGAAAAATAACACATGCTTGGGCACTAACATTGCAGCCTCCCTGCAAATAAAGTTTATTTTTTCTTATTAAAAGTTTCTCATTGCCATGAGACCCTGAAATACAAGTATGAAATTTTATTAAATGGAAATTCACTAACTGAGTTAAATAGCAACCAGTTAGTGAATGAGGTAAGTGAGAGACTTAAATACAGCAAAAAGTCATTGAGGGTTTATTTTTGATTTCCTGTGTCTTTCTTAGACCAAGTTTGTATTTTAACATTAGAAGAGCATCATTCTGTGCACTGTGTTTCATGTGACTGGACTGAAACTTCACATCTTATTATTGAGGTCTATGCCTTTGCCTTCTGTTCCCCAAGTAGGATGCCTTTCCCTTGACGAAGTCAGGGAGCCTGGGGGCCAATGTGGGGGCCAATATAGAGGTCAGCCACCCCACAGAGGTCTAGAGGGAGCCGCCTGTTCCCTGTCATGGCAGTCCTGGACCGGAGGCCACCAGTGACCTCTGCTAACCTTGCCTTTTCTCCCAGGTGGAAAGGGGAAAACGTGGCCACCACTGAAGTCGCTGACGTACTAGGACTGATTGATTTCATCCAAGAAGTGAATGTTTACGGAGTGTCTGTGCCAGGTATGCACAAAATACTAAAAATCTATGCCTAAATCCATACTGTAACCAAATATAATTTTAACTCCAGGGCAGAGTATGTCATAGCTTTCTCCTGACAGCTGGAGAATCAAACAACTCTTCCAGCCACTTGGGAATAAGGGGCTTATATCTGGTGTATGTCCTTTTATAAATGAGCCAAGTCAATACACCTGAATCTGGCCTCCCTCTGTGGTTCAGCCCCGCAGCTGGGCTCTCAGGGAGGCCAAGTCTCTCCAGGGCACGAGGTCCCATGCTGCGTTTGGCACTCCCCAGGAAAAGATGCGTCATGCTGGGTAGCTGGGAAATAGTACGCGAGACACAAATAAGAGCAAGTGCAGTTGCTAAGAGAAAGAATTGGGAAGGAGCTGATTTTGTCCAGACTCTTCTTTTAAAGCAAGTCCCTCCCGAGCGCACCTGGCTGAGTTGCAGAACCACAACACAGAGTGGTGTTGCCAAGCCTCCTCCTGCAGGTCCGCTTCTGCCAGACCTGGGAGGGCCCAGGTCTGGTTCTGGGTCCTGGCCCCAGTACCTGCTGGCTGTTCGACTTCGGGCAGATCACTAAAATTAGGGGTAATACCAGTCCTATAGTTAAGATTATCACGAGAAGTAATTCACTTCAATTACATAAATAGTAAAAACATATTTACCAGATACGTATGGACCGGGGGTTGTCATAAGAGGAAATCACTTTAATTATAGTTATTAGGAAGGATTGAAACCTCCAAAGCACTGTCCAAATATAAGATCCTAGGGGTGTTGGTATTCCCCCAGAACTCAGTATTTGGTATTCCCACCTCTATTCAAAACGGGAAGTCCCAAAGTCCTTCTTTCCTGAGCTGTGATGGTTTCACATCACCTTGTGCTGTCCTTTTTTTTCTTTTTTTTTTCCCAAAGAACATTCAGTTCTTTCTCTTACCTGTTCCTCTCCAACCTCGTGGGAGTGACACGATGGGAAGTGTAGCCCCGCTGGGGTGGCAGAGTGTGAGGGCTGCGCATGCGTCTCGTGGGGCGCCTCAGGCTGCATCGACACAAGCATGCTTGTCAGCCATCCCCCACCCACGCTGGGCTCTCACGGGCCCTACCCGGAGTGTTGCACACACTTTTAAATGCTGGATTTTAAAATGCTAACAACACAAAAAAATGTGTAGGAGAAGGTGAGAGGATCTGGGATATAACCTGAAAAGACCTAACCCAGTGCACTTCAGAATGGATCCACGAACCAGCAATATCATCATCCTCACCTGGGAGCTTGTCAAAAACGCGACTTCTCAGGCCCACCCCAGACCTACTGAATCCGACTTTCTGGCGTGGGGCCCAGGGGGCTGTGTTTTAACAAGTCCTTTAAGTAATTCTTAAAAAACTGAAGTCAGATTAGGGGGTGATGAAAATATTCTAGAACTAGATACTAGTGATAGTGGAACAACATTGTGAACTCAGTAACTGCCACCAAATTGTACGCTTTAAAATCGTTAAAATAATTAAGTGTATGTTTCACCACAGTTAAAAAACAACAACAACAACAACAACACTAAAGCCTTGAGAAGCACTGAGGCCTATTGGTTTCAAAAATCTTGGCAATACTTAGAATCATCTGGGAAACTTTTTAAAGCCCATATCTAATGGATCAGAATCTCTAGGATTTGGGATTCAGAATCTTCATGTTTTTTCTAAATTCCCAAGTCAGTCTAATAACCAGTAAGATTTGGGAGCCGCTGATAAAGGACAAAGAAGAGGGAGCTGGTGGTTTCAAAAAACTGGAGACAGTCAGTTAAAACAAGGAGCCGGTGTGTTCATGTTGCTCCAACGTGCAGAATGAACACCAGTGGGCTGAAATGACCAAGAAGCAGATTTTAACCTGAGAACTCTACTGTAACCAGAGGAACCAACAATAGAACGGCCTGGGGTAGGGAATGTTCCACCAGCTGGAGTGTGTAAAGAGGCAGGATGGCCACCAGGGATCCTATGGGAATTCTTCCAGCAGTGAAAAATTAGAGATGAACTTTAGGGATCACAGACTCTGAAGTCTCCCCCAACTTTCCAGTTTTGTGCTCTTCACATAGGCCTTCACAGATCTCAACTTTGGACCAGGAGAGAACTAATAGGTTGGGCCTTCGAATGGAGTTAACCTTTTCTAAGTGTCAGAACTGTCCAACTATTCTCCGGAACTGTTATTATCAATAGAACTTTCTGCAGCAATGGAAGTGTTCTATATCCGCACTGTCTAACATAGTATCCAGAGCCACCATGTGAGCAACTGAAACGTGGCTAATGCAACTAAGAAATTGAATTTTTCATTTCGATTATAATTAATTTTAACAGCCACATGTGACCCGTGGCTACCAGAGTAGACAGTGCAGTACTAAGGAAGGCCTGCCTAGAACTGCTGCAGACTGAAACCTTCCTCCTGGAACTGAACTAGCCCAAAACCAACCTCCGTGAGTCGGGGCAGGGGCCTGAAACCCAACAGGCTCGTTCACTTCCTGGTGAATGCCGGAGCAAGAGACAGGGAGCCAGTCGACACTGGAGACCTCTATTGCCTCAGCTTCTACCTTAATTCTAAAAGGAAATTATTGGAGACATTTGAGATTCCTGAGATACGTGCCTGCGAGAGAGCTACCAGGGACCCCTAGAGAAAGAGGGTCCAGTGCCCTGCCTCCCTCAGATAAGAGGAGGGTAAAATGAGGATGCATTTTCCCGTCTTTTCATTTTTCCTCTTGTTTTTTCTGCCTTCTTCGGAGCTGTAGGTAAACACACAATCACCATGGGAGAGATTTTGAAGGCTGGGGCCCAGGTGAGAAGGGCAGCTTCTTCCTCCTCTCTGATTACATCTAAGTAGTTCAGGGAAACGGACCTGGGCTCCCACTAGGGCTTCTGGGTCGGGGAGAAGATAGATTAGTACGTAATTACCACTGTCCTCACAAGAAAACAATGGTAATTGTTCTAAACACTTCTCCATTTACTGCCCTGCCTGATAGGAAAGAAAGAGCTGTTAGGATCTGTTTTCTCTGTGGACAACTCAACCTCTGGCATCAGTGGAAGGGCACCAAACAGCTCGTCCCTGCGCCTTGCCGTCACCTCCTGTTCACAGCTTCTCTAAAATGCAGAACGGCAAAGCTAGTAGAAAAATTGATTGAACACGGAAGTCTCAGAGGTGGTGTTCGTGCCTAGAAGCACTAGAGAGCTGACACTGCAATCTAAAGAACACCCTGAGCTCAGTGATTCCTGAGTGAAGAAGGAATTCTCACTGGAGTCAAAACAAAAATCCCTTTAGCCACCAGTTTGACCCTTTTCCCACTCAAGTGTCCAGCTAGGCTGCTAAGAAGGATGATGATTATAAGCACGGCATCTAGAGCCATACTGCCTCAGTTCAGTTTCTGACCCTGCCTAGTATTTGCTGTGAACTTGAACAAGCCTCTCAATGTCTTTATGCCTCTGTTTCTTTGTCTATAAATGGAGATAACATTTGAACTTTTTTATAGTTGTCGCGTGGGTTAAATGAGATAGTCCATAAGGCCTGGCATATAATAAAGAGTTAATCAATGTATAGCTTCTAGTAGTAGTAGTAGTAGTAGTAGTAGTACTTTCACTTCAGAATAACTTTAACATAAGTTTGAAATAAAAATTCCAACAATCCAAAAGAAACTTATGCCATGTTGCCTCAGTCCACTGCTCTTTGAAACAGAAAAGCATTGTAAATAAAATAGCTACAACACAGCTAATATTTTTTTCACTGTATTTCTAGGTCACGAGGGTCGAATTGGCATGGCTTCAATCAAGATGAAGAAAGGCTATGAATTTGATGGACAAAAAATCTTTAAGCACATTACCAATTACCTGCCCAGTTATGCAAGACCCCGGTTTCTAAGGATACAGGTGAAGCCTCTTGTTATCAAGTTCAATTATCTTCTCTTATGGAGACCCCTGTCTCTTAGGCAACAACTCCCTTTTTGGTGATCATGGTGACCACATTGGCTAAATTCTCACCCTTTCCAGGAAACTCAGTAAGAAAGCAGAAACATCAGAAAAATACAACTAGCAGAAACCAAACCCTAATCCATTTCTCCCTAAAATTGACAGGCCAATTCATTCAGCAACAGTATTAGCAAATAACTCACAGAGTTTTTGTTTGAGGATATGCGACAGACGCTTAGAAATGCTCAACCCTCCTATTTGTTGTTTTCAGTTTTAAAGAATGAAAAAAAAAGTCTGAAGCCCTGCACCTTTCTATAGTGTGAAGTTTAATTGGGCATCATTAGCCAGTTGGCACTACCAAAGGTTTAGCTAGCAACACTGGAGGGATTTTTTTCTCTTTCTCAAACATTAACCCCTTGGTTAGTTTAACACTCACTTTTGACTTGGAGCTCTATGATGCTGAGAAGTTGAGAAGTGTTAGATTACCAGACATTGCTGCAGCTATAAAATTATGTTGATGTTCATAAAGCAGTGGCATTTGCTTTACAATGAAATTGTTGAGAGACATGCAAATTGAAATATCCACAGATCATCACCTATTAATTGAAGAAAATAGAAATTGTAAAGCTGATCTTCAGGCTTTAAGGGACTGGAAAATACCTCATGGTCATGGCCCCCTAGTGGAGCTTTGGAAAACAGGATGTATCCATATCAGAAAACTTGCATTCACAGCTCTCAAGAGCCAGAGATGTCAACCCCATTGCCCCACCTCCACCCCTTCCCCTGCACCCTAATCTGTTTGCAAAACACTGCAGCAATGTGAATTGTTTGATGTTTTTTCAGGACACCATTGAAGTCACGGGAACTTTTAAACACCTCAAAGCAAAGCTCGTGGAGGAGGGCTTTAACCCTGCAGTCGTCAAAGATGCTTTGTATTTCTTGGATGACAAAGCACAGATGTATGTGCCTATAACTGAGGACATTTACAATGCCATAAAGGCTGAAACTCTGAAACTCTGAATGTTCTCTGGATGATAACTCATATTTCCCGAAAGAAACTGAGTGGATCCAGTACAGCCACCTGATAGAATCCAACTATAATTCAATTGAAGATTGTGAGGTGCATTTTTATGCATACCAATAAGAGGAGACTTTTCTAAATTACACCTGAACCTTTGCAAGTGAAAAGATTTAGAGATGATTATTCTTTATTGTGCACCTGCTGTTTGAATTTGCAAACTAAGTTTGGTAGAAGGAGGGCATTGTTTTGTTCAATATGTAATAAAATAGATGAATTCCAGCATATGAAATGGCACTCTCTGTCCTTTATTCTAAATGCAAACCCTAAGCCTGGCAGTCTCATTGGTAACTTTTCACAGGTGCCTCACTCATAGTGATAATGGCACTCTAGGGAATTAATGGCAAGGAGTTGGAAGGGAAGGGGAAGTATCACCAAGAACAGGCCCAGTGGGAATTGAGCTCCAGTATAAGACCAGCTCTCGCCACCAAACAGCATCCTGGCCACTGTCTAAAACAACATTATCCAGATGAGAATGTCACCTACAGTTCTAAAAGAAGACTAAGCAGTATCATCAGTATTCTACGCACAAAAGGTGTTCAGTAGATATTGTTTAGTTACATCAAGGGTGGCACACTCAAGTGTCTTCAGGATTCACACTGGTAATGAGGTTGAAAGAAGCAAGCCATGGACAGCATGGAAGCAACTGGAGGACAGCCCCTATTCAGTTGGCTGATTACCACCATGTGGGAATATAAGTCAGGCACTTCTGGGATATTTTTTTTTTTTTTAATTTTTAGAAAGCAAAGGAGATAGAAAGAGAGAGAGAGTAACATCGATGTGTGAGAGAAACATCAATTGGTTGCCTCTCACATGCCCTCAACCAGGGACCTGGCCCGAAACCCAGGTTTGTGCCCTGACTAGGAATTGAGCCAATGACCTTTGGCTTTTCAGAATGATGCCCAACTCACTGGCCCACACCAGTCAAGGCAAGAAAACATGTTCTTTCACTAGAGCTTGTCCTCGATCACTGACGCATCATGGTCACTAAATCCACATCCAGGAAGTGTAATTCAAGTTCATCCCAGCCCCCCTAAAAGAAGTGAGGTTTCCTTCCCTAGAAGACATTCTCATGTGAGTGGGAGCTGACAAGGAGCCCCATTTCACCACCAATTTAGTCCCCATAAGAGCCCAAGCAAACACATCTAGGGATCTTCTGGGGACAAGAGAGGTGGCCACCCCTTGCCCCCAACACAGTACTAGAAATATTTTTTAAATTCGGTCTACTCTCTTAGGTGGCTCCTAAGAAGACTCGTGACCAGAATCTCTGCCCTTGCTCATTGTGCCCAACAATAAACACTTCCTGAGCACTTAAAATGCATAAGGAACTTGAGGACGGCCTAAGAGGCTGGATATCGCTGGGTCTTTGTGAACAATTTAGACCAATGGTTGCTTGTGAGTCAGCACTTGGGAATTTTTGAAAGATTCTAAGTATCTCTGCCTTTGCTTTGTTGATCCACCAGTGAGAATTTGAACCCAAATGATGGGAAACAGCATGACCTTTGTTTTGGACAGTATCACATTGTGTAATTGTACTATTATACTTGGAATCCTGCTAAAGTAAACCCAGCTGTAAGAGGTTATCATCATTCTTTGTCACAAAGGGCATCATTTTGAATGAAAGGTCGCAGCACTTACACCTTTTGGACAGAACATAGTGTTCCAGTGTCCAGAGCCTGCTGGGGCCTGACCATCTTTGACACTTTTAGACTTTCCAGGCAGACACTCCCCTCCCCAGCCCCATGGCTCCCTCAGCCTCCCACTTCCGCAAACCTTGGTAATGCTGGCCAGGTATTGTGACAGATAGAGGCGCCAGCACAATATCCTCAATACCTCAGTATGCATGTGTGTACACAAAATTCAGTCATTCCCTGTTTCAGAAAATCAACTGTAAAGACTGATTTTTCTCTTTTAAAGGGGTTAGAAATTGTGCCCATAGAAATATCTGCACAATTTAAAAGTACAAATGGCCCTGGCAGGTGGCTCAGTTGGTTAGAGCGTTGTCCCATACACCAAAAGGTTGCAGGCTCGATGTCTAGTCAGGGCACATGCCTAGGCTGCGGGTTCATTCCCCGGTTGGGGTGCATATGAGAGGCAACCAATTGATGTTTCTCTCTCACATCGATCTTTCTTTCTCTCACATGCTTTCTCTCTCTCTTCCCCTCTCTCCCCCCCATTCCTTCCCACTCCCCTCTCTAAACTCAATAAACATATCTTCAGGTGAGAATTAAAAAATAAAATAAAATAAAAGTACAAAAATGGATATTTTTAAAACATAAGCTGATATCCATGTAAGTCATTCAACAGGTCTCTGGATTCAAATGTATTGTTTGGAAACATGTAATCAGGGCATAGATAGGATGTTACAGGCACCAAAATAATTTGAGGATAAAACTAGGAAATGTCAGCATATGAAATGGAAGCTAATGAGAATCAGTATAAAATGGGTAAGATTAATGAAGTGCAGTGGCCCACCCCAAGAGATGATTTGTTGATGTGTTGCTGGTTTGTATATCCACTCTATACTTGATCTTAGCCAAAATGCCAAGGAGTGATCCTACATCCACTCTACAAGCATTTAGTGGGTGCCTGTTACAGAGCAAGAGATGAGCTCAGCAGTAGTGTGATGATGTTTTCCAAGCCTCTATCTAGGAAGTCAGAGTCTAGACAAACCTCTTTATTTGATAAAGGATAAAAACTGACACCTGACAATTTCAGTACATGCCAAAAGTCACACGGCTCACTGGCATCACTAAGCTTTCACCTAACGCTTAAGGAAGAAATGTATCTTCACAGACTAGTGGTTCTCAGTGTGTGGTCCCGGACCAGTGGCAGCACCACCTGGAAAATTGTTACGCATGCAAATTATCAAGCCATGCCCCAGACCCACTGAGGACTGGCCCAGCAACCTGTATTTTAACAACCACCGCCCCCCCCGCCGCCCCCGCCCAGTGATTCTGATGCAGGCTTAATCTGAGAACCCCCGGCTTAGAGCAGAGCTTCTCAAGCTTTAAATGTGCAGAAGAAGCAACTGCAGATGCCAAAGCTCACGGTCCACACACCCCTCTTTGACTAGCAAGGGACCCTAACTCAGTGGTTCCCAAACACTGCTGAACATTAGAATTATTCGAGGAGCTATCAAAAATCCAAAGCCCAGGCCCACCCCATACCAATTAGATAAGTTTTTGTAAGAGTGAGAGCCAGACATCAGTTTGATATTTTTTTAATTTTTTTAATCCTCACTTGAGGACAGTCTTATTGATTTTCAGAAGAGGAAGAGGGAGGGAGAAAAACATTGATTTGAGAGAGAAACTGTGATAGGTTGCCTCTCACGCATCTCGACTGGGGACCAAGCCAGCAATCAAGGCATGTGCACTGACTGGGAATCGAACCCACAGTCTTTTGGTTTACAGGATGACACTCCAATCAACTGAGCCACACTGGCCAAGGCCAGGCAGCCATCATAATTTTTTAAAAGACTTCGAGCCCCGGCTGGTGTGGCTCAGTGGATTGAGTGCCGGCCTGCGAACCAAAGAGTCACTGGTTCAATTCCCAGTTGGGGCATATGCCTGGGTTGTGGGCCAGATCCCCAGTAGGGGGTATGTGAGAGGCAACCACACATTGATGTTTCTCTCCCTCTCTCTCTCTCTCTCCATCCCTTCCCCTTTAAAAATAACAAAATATTTTTAAAAAATAAAAAAAGACCTCAGGGTGATGCCAGTATGTAGCAAAGTTTAGGGACCACTGATAGAGAACGAGGATGAACATGAAACATTATGCTCTTGACAAAGATTCACTCCTTGACCAAATTCAATGTCAGGCTCCTCAAAGCCCGCTTGTTGACCCGGCCTCACCCTTGTCCTATAAAGACTTGAACAAACTCTAACATAGTTTCTAACAGCTCAAGGCCAAACTCCTAGGATGATCTGAGACCCCCTAAAATACCTGTGTGCAAAAACTACAGAATGCCAAGAGAATTGACTGGTCCTTCTCTCTAACACCTGAAGATGGGCCCCTGGTTCCCAGCCTCTGCAGGAGGCGGGAGCCTGACTTCGATAAGCACCAGGGAGCCAACTCCGATGGATTTCACGTGGGCCGGCCCCCTCTTCCCTCTTCTTGATTTTTGCAGTTTTTCGCTTCCCTGATTCTACTGAGTCCCCACTAGCCACTCCCCACTCCTTCTCTCTCCCTTTAAAGTGCCCAGTGACCTATATACAAATCAAAGTCGAGTCCAGTTTATGCTAGACTCTTTCTCTATTGCAATGGTATTTATTACTGAATAAACTTACTGATTAAAATCTGTTCTTACCACTTTAGTGTCCATCTTTGTTTACCTTTAACATTGTAATGAATCAATTTCAGAGCCACTCCCCTTAAAAGTGCCATCTGAATTGGGAAGAAAATAATTTGTTTGGCCTATAAACTAACTGTGGGCAAGCTGCCAGTGAGTACAGTGACTACAGGATCCAGAAAAACAGGAAAATCCCTAGAGAGAAAAAATTTAAATGTACTAAAGGACCAGAGGGGCCTACTAGACTGAGAGCTTCTGATCAAGTACAACCTTGAACAGTACAGGGCAGTGGAAGTAACATGGACTTTACTAAAGACAAGAAGACCTGGATTTGGCCATTTATAACCCATGTGACCTAGAGCCTCAGTTTCCTCATTTATAAACTGTAAGAAAGCCATAGTGCCTGACTCAAGCTGCCTGCCTTCTTCATACCAAGGGCTTCTCCAAACGCACTTTGTTTTCCTTCACCTGAGGATATGTTCACTGATTTCTAGAGAGAGGGGAAGAGAGAGAGAGAGAGAGAGAAACATCTGTGTGAGAGAGAAACATCAATTGGCCACCTCTCACTTGCACTCCAACTCGGGATTGAACCCACAGCCTAGGTATGGTGCGGTGACTGACAATTGAAACCGTGAACTTTCAGTACACAAGATGACATGGCATTCCAACCAACTGAGCCACTCTGGCCAGGGCCAAACTTACTTTTTCACAGTCAAATTCAAACCTTCAGTATCCTAAAAAGCAAAACCATAAGTGCATGCATTTAGGCTCCAGGATATTCTCTGGTTAATTAATCAATGTTTCAGTGGTCAATGAAGTCACACAGGATATGCTTTTTTCACAGACAAGCACAATTTATTTCTGCATTATATTTCATATCACAAGCTGAACCACAGAAGCGGACTGTCAGTATGTTACCCTGGGCTCTTTTTCTCTGACCAGACTGCTAGCACCTTTTGGACCATGCTGGCTTAAACTCTCTATTTGCATCTTCTTATGGGTCATAAACTCCTATGAGAATCATAAAAATTATGGGCTCTCCCCCGAGAAAAATGCACATACACATAAGCACACAGATTCAGCACACAATTCTGAGGGGTGCAGAGACTCTCCAAAACACATCCGTGAACTCTGGCTGAAACCCCTGGTCTAGACCATTGCCTGCAGAGGGCAGCAGGGCAGCTGGAGCCCACACTGAGCGCTGCATTCAGGAAAGCTGGGGACGCTGTAGAACTTGATTAGTTTTTTGAAGGCACTTTTCTTCAGCATCATCATCTCTTCTGGAAACCTAGAGATTTTAACCCTGAAGGAGCCCCCATTCTTCGCAGAGCCATCTGTGGGCTGTGGCTTCTGAGCACTCACAGGCACGCTGTTGCAACTGAGGGAACGCACTGCCTTCTTCTTATTCCGCATGGACAGATAATTGAACAGGAAGGATGACAGCTTCTGCTTCGTGACATCCGGGGCCTCTTCTGAAAAGCAGTCATCCAGGGGGTCCAGCAGAGTTTCAAGATGGCAGCCATCTTCCCTTCTCCCAGGACTGGCTCCCACACTTCGAGGCTGCTTGATGATCCTTCCAGCCTGGGCTAGGTCATCTTCTGCCCCACTGATAGCCTGAAGGGACATTCCACTGGTCAGGGTTCTCGGGCCCCTGGTTTGGGGGAAGAGGCTCCTGACCTGAGGGCTAGGTTGGGAAGTACAATGCTGACTCAGGATAAGAGTGGCAGCATCCTGAATGAGGTTCCAGTCTCTCAGGATGTCATCCCTGGTGGTGAACTGGGATGTCACAGTGAAGCGGATGATCAACTTGTCCTGGATGGTGGCTGGGATGAGGAAGAGATGGCCAGCTTTAGCTATTTCCTTTAACACGCTTTCCGTGAGACAATTAGGACCCTGTTTGAAGGATAAAGAGAAGTGAAGTCTGTACCGCATCCCCAGAAGCCCAGCATTTATGTTTCCAAGATGCTTAGGGATCGCCGAATAACATCATTCACAGCCACGGAAGATGACATTACCTTTAGACGAAAAACCACCAGGCCAAGGTGCCTCTTGGCAGGAATTTCAAAGAAAGGGTCATTTCTGACCAGAGATTCAAAATATTTAGCCATTTCAGTCCCCTAGAATGGTAAATATAGAAAGAACTGAGATTAATAGTCAGGCAAGGAACAACCATGCGTAAACTTTCACACTGCTAAAAGGGTGTAAGCCAGGACACCTTTGAACCATGGAGGTCCAAATGGCTTCTGCGAAATATTCTTCTGTTTGATTTTGATCATATTCCAATCTAGGAAACCTCCAGTGGCTCCCTACTTCTTACCATTTCAGATCCACCTCGGAAACTCATGTCTCAGGGCCCCCTTTCAACTCTTCCCCAGAACCAGAAGGCCTGTATTTTGCAGTTGAGGCAATCTGGCCTCTTATCCTGGATTCACAGTTTCTTGACCAGCCAAGGGGGCAAGTGAGGGCCAAAACCAGCCCAGGCTCTGTGTTCCACGCCAGGGGCCTGCGCGAGGGGCACCGTGTGGGCTGTCAACAGCTCTGTCCCATCCTAAGCCTGCATCTTTCCCTTGCCTCTCAAACCTCCCCACCTCACATGCCCTGGCGCCCCCTTTCTCCCACATTCCACAAAGACTATATTTTACATATCATCTCCATGTGTGCTGTGGAAAGGTTTTGCACCTGTTTAATGGATACAGAGTTTCTGCATGGGATAAGGAAAAAGTTCTGGAAATTGATAGTAATAATGGTTGTACACATTGTTAGTTCACTTAATGCCACTTAATTATAAACTTAAAATTGGTTAAAATTGTAAATTTTATTATGCATATGTGACCACAATAAAAAAAATTAAGTCTTGTATCATATTAATCTTTCACTGAAATTTAGTCATTTTCAATATTTTCCTATGTTATTTTTACCTAGGAATATTAACTAAATAAAAGAATTTGCTGCTGCTTCCATTTCTTAAAATTTCTCCAAGCATCCAAAAGGATCTCAATAAAATATTTGCTAAGTAATTGCTCTCACCTGGTTCTCACACCTGCTCCTCCATTTCAGGAGAAGGCAAGGGATTTAGCTAGCTAATCACGTCTTTGACTATGATGAAACAAGTTGCTCCAAATCTCATCTAGAGCCTCTCTCTCTCCCCACTGCATGGTCTCTTTAAAAGGCCTCAGTCACTGCCCCAAGAACTTTTTATTTGCAAGTCCTGAGGATCTCTCAGGGAAAGCATCCTGCTAAGTATTTCCTAGCTGCTTTGTGTCATGTTCTGCGCAGTGTTCCTCTGGCTCACAAAGAGGCGGCCGCCCTAAATTATCAATTTTCAGGAGCCCGCAAACAGCCCCAGACACCTGAGTCATACACCACAGATTCCCTGGGCAGGTCTGCAAGGCAGAAACCTGCCTTTCTCCCCACTGGGACACAAAGCAAGCCCGGGCTCAGCCCACAGCTTGCACATGAACTAGTAGTACATACATGTCTGACGTGCGCTTGAAGATTCTTCACCCCAAAGGACCGAATCACAAACCAGAGCTTAATAGAGCGAAACCGCCGGCTCAGGGGGATCTGCCAGTGCTAAAAGAGAGGACCAGGGCGCTGGGGTTAGAGACAAGGGCACCTGCTCCCTCACACACGCCTGGGCTTTGTCACCCATTTCCTGCCCAGCCCTCCAGGGATGGTCGGTGTCACCAGAACTCTGAAGCAGTTGCTAAGAAGCAGCCAAGACCAGTTACCCAAAGGCTGCCTTGACATGAGACAAAAATCACCGGTGAAGGTGACCGGTAAGCCTTTGTCCAAGAGCAGGACAAGTGGAAACCAAGTCCATGAGCCTGAACGAAGGAGAAGACACTCTAAGTGCAGGTTTAACCATCTCATCCCAGACTGAAACTCAAGTTAAGACTCAAGGTAAGGGCAATACTTCTTCTTTTCCTTCTCTTCCTCCTCCTCCTCCTCCTCCTTCTTCTTTTGCCAAAAAGAACCTAAGTTCCTTGAATAGCAGAAAATACAGTTCTAGTTCTATTCCCCATGATATCCCCCAAACTGCAAAGGAGAGTGGTCAAGAGCTCAGAGGCAGGAGCCCTGCAGACGTGGGTTTCTCCTCCAGCTCTGCCACATCCGTGCTGTGATCTTGGGCGGTGCCACCTCCCTGGTTCCTTGTGAGACGGAACATGAACAGCACCCCCTAGAGAGGTGGTTCAAGGGGAATGGATGCAAAGAACTTCACAGGAAGCCATCAACGTTGGCTATTTACACAATTACAATGGGAGCTGCAAATCCCAGTAGTATTTCTGCCTAGCACCAAGATGATCACTATTTAATCTCACTCTCTCGTCCTAATGTTTTCCTGTGCCAGTCCTGTGTCCTTGAGAGGCATCACTCCAATTTCAGATCTCCAATGAACATCTGCATTCCAGCCTCTGTTAAACTAAAATTGACCTTTCTTCCTGGTGACTAAATTCAACAGAGCTTAAAGGTTAAGGTCATAGGCACCATAGATCTGAAAAATTTCAAAGCAATTTCCCAGATCTGAGAACAGAGCAAAGGGTGTGGAAAACATTTTCAGTTATTCTGGTAAGTAATGTGGTTTCTAATGACCTCTTCCTCAAACGTCAGGAAGCTTCTATCACAATTTCTGTTGACTAAGAATATTTATTCCATTGAATATTTATCTAGTCATCCACAGAATTGTGAAATTCTCAAAAACACGCTCACCTTCATCCTGACGCAGTGACAGTTGGGACATTACCCCTTTATTGATAGACACTGTTTCTCCCACATGAAGTACTAAGCCTTTGTTTTCCTAGCAACACTCTCGCTCTGAGGACCAGCCTGAAAACTGTTATGTACCAGCAGAGGGCATCAAAACCCAGACATGGAACAAAATCCCGGTTAACAAGAAAGGTGTCAATTCCACCCTTGTTGGATGGACACTGTGGGAAAATAATGGATGGACAGAGGCTTTCTATTTAAAAAGGAAAAAAAAAAAAGTCTGTTTGCCAGATGGTTGTAAATTAGCTACTTTATTTCACTAGCAAATTAAAGGAGAGGCAGGGATTATTTTAATTTTGATTTTCTTCACACTCTGTTCATATCCCCAGTCATTCCTCTTGTTACCATTCCAAAACCAAACCATGCTGACCCAGCTGGGTGATTCTAGCTGACACTTCCTCTTGGAACAGTACAGTGGGGCTTACAAAGGGTGACGTGGCTGTTCTGTAACTCAGGATGTGCCCAAACCTCCTTGCGTACTTTCAATACTTTGCAGGTCTCCTCCACCAAGGGCAAGATGGTACCTCACTCACTACGGGGGAAGGAGCGGGCCCATCCCTGGTGTGAGGGAACCTAGCCCTGATTTTAGGTGGCTCCAGGGCCCCAGGAATAATGTCCCGAAGTCTTTTTCTCAGGGCCTTCTATTTAAAGCTGCAGCCACCGGTGCAGCTGGGGCTACAGGTAAGAGCAGTATTGAAGACCCCCACAGACACAGCAAATAGCAGCTTTAGTTTTCTAGGAGTTTCTTTGTAGACTTGAAAATTAAATCCATTGGATTAGAGGTAAATGTGGGAAAAAGGCAGAAAGCAACACTTTCTAGATGTAGAAATATTAATAGTAAGGTTCCAGACTCACAGACACAGAGAACAGACTGATGGTTGCCAGAGGGGAGGGGGGTGGGGGCCCAGGTGAGAAAGGTAAAGGGCTTAAGAAGTACAAATTGGTAGTTACAGAATAATCGTGGGGATGTGAGGTACAGGGTAGGAAATACAATCAATAGTATCGTGATAACTATATATAGTGCCAGATGGGTACTTGAAACATTGGGGCGATTACTTTGTAAAGCATATGATGTCCAACCACTGTGCTACACACTTAAAACTAATACAAATAATATTGAATACAAACAGATAAGGAAGTCAAGGTCCACTAAGTTTCCCAAAAGCCCACTGCTGCCTCCCCTTGGCCATGATATGCAACGCATTTTTTTTACATCTCTGTCAGCCGTACAATTACAGAAGGTCTCATCTTCAAACTGAGCAGAAAATATGAAGAACCTGTTTCCCCAAGACATAATACAGGCTGAGGGCGTAAGCAGGTTTGAGAGACTGCGATGTAGCTAGTGGAAACACCAGGGGTGTTCAGAAGCATCCCGAAGCTCAGGAGGGATGCCCAGGACCCCGCCCCACGTGGGAGCCTCCCACAGTGCCTCGGTGGGGTCAAAAACATAAAAGTGATTTAAACAAGGAGCCCTTTTCCCGACCTAAGGAAATTCCCCACCCTACCAGCTGCTGAGTAGCAAGGAGAAGAGATTATTCAGGACAGAGGAAGAGGAGAATCAGTCTATTGTTAAGGAGACATTTCTGGGAATTAAAAATGCCACAAATATTCAGGAAATGTGCAGACTGCCTCAAAGGCTGGTCTCATTTTTAGGGTTTTTAAAGTGTTCCAGGTTTCATGCGGGGCACAGAATGAAATCCAAGGTATTCAGTAGTAATATTCTGGGATGGGCCCACAATGTGCCGCTTTCTAACCAGAGCCGACATACAGGAGACCCCTGGGGGCCCACACGCAGCCAGCTTCCATTTCAGAGGCCACCAGGCTGCTCGCTCCTGGCCACTCACCATGAAGTCGGTGGCTGCGCCCGAATTGTCATGCCTGAGGTAGATGGGGTTCACGCTGAAGGTCTGCTGCAGCTTGTATTTGTCCTTGACCCTGTGGGTTTCCAAATGGGCATCAGCGGCCAAGCCCTCTCCAGAGGAAGCAAGGCTTTCCCGAGAGTTGGGAGCTTGGCTGCTGCACTCACCAGAACGCAGTACAGTCAAAGTGCACCATCATCCACTTGGAAGGATTAAAGGCGAAGGAATCGGCATACTCGATACCCTTCAGGAACCCTCGGAACTCGGGGCACAGGAAGGCGGTGCCCGCGTAGGCAGCATCAATGTGGAGCCACAGCCCTTCCCTGGCACCTGAAGAGGCAAATGTCACCCAGCTGAGAGGTGGGGCTGGGAGTGGGTTGCGGGAGTTGCCACCAGCCAGACAAACAGCGTCTCTTGCCTGGCCCAGCTGGCTGCAGGGCCACAAGAGCAGAGCTGGGGAAAGCGGGCCAGCTCCGGCTGCGGAGGACCTCGAGGCGTGTGGAGACGGGAGTGTCAGTGTGAGGAGTGGGGGGGATAAGGCCCTCCCATCGCCTAAAGGGAAAGCCTACGGAGCCCCTCCCTGGCCTTTTCCCTTCCTGGCCGGAGGTCAACACTCTCTTCGCCTCATCCTAGAGCTTTCTGACATACAAACCACCTTGCCACTTGCCCAGAGAACGCTGTTAATGCATCTAATACAAATATTAAAGAGGGTATGTCCCTCTTTCCTAGCTGGTTTCTTGCTCAGAGATTTTAAACCATCACGCTTGGATTTTTTCTGGCTTGATCTCCTCCCATAGTTTCCCCTACCCTACCCTTTCTATTTTCTTAGCCTAGACTAGAAAATTTTTCACTATGCCTCATTCTCCCCGGGCTTATGGGTGCAGCCTGCTTTAAGCAGATCTCAACATACAAGTGAAGGGGCGAGAAACCCGAGGCTCTCCCGCTGCTGCCTCCGAGGACAGGGTGCCAGGGAGAGCATCTCTAACCCTTGGTCACATCTCTGAGGAAAGCAGTGGCTTGGCTACCTAGGAGAAGATCTTCGTGACCTATGGAGGGGCAAGGTAATTCCACAGAGCTGGTTTCAGGTTCTTGCTCTGGGAACATTCTAGAATTCATTACTTGTCTTCCCAGCCAGACAGGGCAGACTTACATATGGGGCCCAGCTCTGACAGGCAGTCAAAGGCACAGACTCCAGTGGTCCCCAGGGTTGCACAGACCTGGAGGAAAATAGAGGAAGTTAACATGGGAAGGTGTTTTTTGGTGACACATTTGGCCGGGAAGAAAATTGAATCACAGATATTATCTGCCCCAAACATCCTAACAAAACAGTGGGTATCTCACACTGTATTTTACCAGGACCCACAGTAAGAAATGCATGGTATATGGTAACCTAGTACATATATACATATGTATTTGAAATAAAAAGTTCTACCAAACAATACATCCTCTGGCTACAGAAATGCACTCTGAGGTTTTCTATTCCATTTCTTTTTTCTAATTCTGGTTTTGACCTCCAGAATTTATTCCCTAACACACCAATGAATAGCTGCTCATAAATTGTAAACATTGTAACATTCGAGGGCCTTTCTGCTTTTATTTGCAGCATGTTACTTACCTGAATTCTGCCAAAATTCCTTCCTCACCTCCAAGTTCTATCATCCTAAACTCAGAACACATTCTAACTTACAAAGACAGGCACTAGGCCCCTCTCCTTGTCCTCCTCGATGGCTTTCTGAAGAGCTTCCCCTCGGAGTGAGAAGTTGTCGTCCACAGGTAGAAACTTCATCTTCACAAGAGAAATCAAACCAGCCTTTTCCACTGAGGAGTGAGCCTAGCAGGACAATGGAAACCTGTTAGCAGAGTCATCCTGGGATAAGCACTCCCCAGAAACTGCAGAAGCCAGACTAAGGGAGTCAGTGTATAACATCCGACACTTGTCTGTCCCTTCAGTTCCTGGAGACAATCTTCCGGGTCTGAGCTTCCCCGAACCCCAGCATACTCAGGTGGAGGAGAAAAGACCCCAGGGCCAAGACTCCAGAAGCCAAGCAATAGCCTGAAGGTATGGCCTGTGGTGGGCAACTCACCTGGTCAGAGGCATAGGCAATGAGCCGGGCGTTCAGGGAGGACTCGTCCGCACCGGGCTCCGATGCCTTCATTTCCAGGATTCTGTTCTTCCTCGCCGCCAGCAAGGCGATCAAAGTGGACTCACTGACTGTGCTCTGTGGTGGAAGAAACATTACCAGTGGCAGCCTCTGCCCGTGTTCCCTTGCCAAACACCCCCAGGTTCTTCATCGGGGGGAGGGTGTGTGGGTGTGTGTGTGGGTGTGTACGTGTAATAGCTATTTCTTAAAAAGCAAGCAGCTTCGTGGATTGGAAGAATTAACATCATTAAAATGTCCATACTACCCAAAGTAATTTATAGAGTCAACACAATCCCTATTAAAATATCAATGACATATTTCACAGACATAGAACAGACATTTCAAAAATTTATATGGAACCATAAACAACCCCAAATAGCCACATCAATTTTAAGAAAGAAAAACAAAGCAGGGGTGATCACAATACGTGACATAAAACTATATGACAAGGCCACTGTAATCAAAACAGTCTGATACTGGCCTAAGAACAGACACATAGATCAGTGGAACAGAATAGAAAGCCCAGAAATAAACCCATATCTCTATGGTCAATTAATATTTTACAAAGTGGGCAGAAGCATAAATTGGAGTAAAAATAGCCTCTTCAACAAATGGTGTTGGGAGACCTGGGCAGCTACATGCAAAAAAATTGAAATTTAACTACCAACTGACACCGTACACAAAAATAAACTCAAGATGAATAAAAGGCTTAAATATAAGCCGCGACACCATGAAAGTCCTGGAGGAGAGCGTAGGCAGGAAATTCTCAGATATTCCGCATAGCAATATTTTCACCGATATGTCTCCAAAGCAAGGGACATAAAGGAAAGAATTAACAAGTGGGACTTCATCAAAATAAGAAGCTTTTGCATGGCTAAAGAAAGCATCAGCAAAATGAAAAGAGAACCAACCGTATGAGAAAATATATTGGCCAATGATACATCAGATAGGGGTTTGATCTCCAAGATATATAAAGAACTCACACAACTCCACTCCAAGAAGATAAACAATCCAATTAAAAAATGGGCAAAGGACCTGAACAGACACTTCTCCAAGGAAGAGATACAGAGGGCCCAGAGACATATGAAAGGATGCTCGGCATCACTAGTCATCAGAGAAATGCAAATTAAAACCACAATGAGGTACCACTTCACACCGGTCAGAATGGCCATTTTAAACAAATCAACAAACAACAAGTGCTAGCGAGGCTGTGGAGAAAAGGGAACCCTAGTACACTGTTGGTAGGAATGCAGACTGGTGTGTAGCCATTGTGGAACATGGTTTGGAATTTCCTCAAAAAGCTAAAAATGGAACTGCGTTTTGATCCAGCAATTCCACTGCTGGAATTATACCCTAAGAATCCCAAAACACCAATTCAAAAGAACCTATGCACCCCAATGTTCATAGCTGCACACTTTATAATAGCCAAGTGCTGGAAGCAACCTAAGTGCCCATCAATAAATAAGTGGATCAAAAAACTATGGTACATTTACACAGTGGAATACTACATAGAAGAAACAAAGAAAGAGCTACTACCCTTCGCGACAGCATGGATGAAACTAGAGAGCATTATGATCAGTGAAATAAGCCAGGCAGTGAAAGACAAATACCATATGATCTCACCTATAAGTGGAACGTAATCAACAAAACAAACAAGCAAGGAAAATGTAACCAGCAACATTGAAAGAAAAAAGAAACACCAACAGAGTCAAGAGAGAAGGAGGGAGGAGGGTGGAGGGGAAAGGAAAGGGAAGGGTCAAGTCAAGGAACATGTAAAAGGGACCCATGGACAAAGCCAAAGTGGGGAAGGGTTGGGGGTGGGGGGGGCAGGGGACGGTGCTGGCAGGAAAATGGAGACAAATGTATTTGAACAATAAAAAATAATAATAATTTAAAAAGATATAAAAAAGTTTTTAAAATGCAAATAATGTATGTTAATGCATATATAACATCCAAAGTTTTAACTACTCGCTAAGAACCCAGAACATCCACGAGATACGATAATTTGGGTTTTTTGTGAGGTTCACAGAAAGGTTGATGTGAGAGAGGAAGTCACTTAGCCAACAAGGGGACCCTCTGAACTTTCCAGTTCTCAGGGCAGCGTGGAGATTTTTATTTAATAGAAGAATGCACTTAATCCTCATATCCCCTCCGTGAGTGTGAGGTGTGAGGGAATTATCCTATTAATAGATTACAAAACCCAAAAAATTACACATTATGATAGAATTCAAGAATTTGGGTGTTCTCAAAGTTCTCAGAACAAAGCCCTCATGAATGTCAAGGGTTTATAGATGCAAAAACACCTGGCAATGTGTATGGTCTATGGTAGGCACCCAGAAAGTTCCACGATGCTATATTACTCTTGATAAAAAAGAGAAAGAGAGGAATAATTGAAGAATCATCATTTGATAGATATACAAAAGATAAGATAAACTGATTTATGCTGTTAATTCCTCCCGCTGCCAAGGGACGGGAAGAAGACTCTACTTGCTTCTCTTTTCTGCTACCATAGGTATAAAATGGGACCAGGGAGGGGAGCCGTCAGGCTATAAACTAAGAAACCTGAATCCAGTGACACCGGAAATGTGATGGTGCGTTGACTTTTTCATCTTTTTCAAGAAGAGAAAGAAAGGGTGGAGACTGCGGTAGCAGTAGCATAAACAAAGTGGAGGCTGAGACGGGGGTGGCAGCCATGGTCGGGGTGGTGGCCGCGGCAGGGGTGGCAGCTCTGCCGGTGAAGGCGTTGCTGGAGGGTGGCGTCAACCATGACAGTGGTGAAGGTAATGGCGGTGGTGGTGTGAGTGACACGGAGAGACTTTCTGGGGAGCGGGAGAAGTCCCCAGGCAAGGGTTGGGCTTATCTGCCACTGCTTATCCCCCGTGCTAGGGGGAGCTTTGACAATGGTGGCACCTGCAAGACGCCTCCCCCGTGGCTGCCAGGGTGGTGGTGCAGGAAGTGCTCCGGGAGTCCCAGCATTTTTGCCAGCCAGTCCATGACGTTCATCTCCAGCTCCGTGCACGCGGGGCTGGAAGCCTGAAAGAGGAAAGCAACTTCATCTGGCCAGCCCCAGGGCACCAAGATGCCCCCACAAGTCCCAGAATACATCTGTCTCTGCCCTTGTGTTCCCCTGCCTGGGACGGTATCAATGGGAACCTGGCCTATTTTATTCCTGGAGAAGAGGGTCGATGCTAGGCCCTGTGCTCCAGCCCCGCCCCATCTCCTGACAAACCAAAGAGGGAAAAGAATGCAGGGCTTTGGATTCATGCCACGCTTGATGAGGTGGGTTCTCCTAGGACTCCAAGCTCTAGAAATGATTGTTTTCATTCGGCCCCCCAAGTCCCTTAAATACCCAGCTGAGATGCATCCTGAAGGCCAGGGAGACGTGTTAGGACTAAGAAAGCAAGCACTCCTTCCTGGCAAAGATAGCAACTCTCTTCCCCCCTCACCACTCCCTCCCACATACACGCATCTTGTAACAGTTCAGGCTTAAAATATTAAGCTGTTTTAGGAGGCTTCTGGTGTACTTTATAGCTGATTGGTGCTTAAGGAGTTATTAAGGGAAGTTTTAGGGTATATCCCTAATCCCTCAAAGATAAGAGTGCAAAGGAAGTTGTACCCACAGGCACCAAAGTGCTTAGCTAAGGTCACGAATTGTGGCAATAACCATATCTCAGTCCAAATCTCAAATCTCATCTCTGTCTCTTTAAGCTCTGTGATCATGGGGAGATAAGTTGCTTAAGCCTGAATTTCTTCACTTTCGCAATGGAGCCAATACTCACGATTCCACAAGGGTTAAAGAATAAGATAATTTGTGTAAAGTTTAAGTTCAAAGAATGTAGCCATTGTTAATATTTACCTTGGAACCCTGTTCAGAGACCAGGACAAAGTATGTGTGCCTCAGGATGTCACTCCCAGCTGTGTTCCCCATTACCACTGGTTATAGCTACAGCCATGGCTACTCACCCAGGTGAATCCCAAGCAGTTGATGGCATCAGCCAGCATGTCTCCCAGCAGTGACGGCCAAGAGGTGAGGGCTGGGTAGTAGGCGTGCATATGGGGGCTCTGCCAATGTACCACCTGAAGGCAGAGCATGTACACAGGCGACATCAGGAGGCATAAGTGGGAGGCTTTCCTTCTCCAGAGACCCTCCCTGGCAAGGGGAAGCACCCAGTCTAGAGATGGGCTGAATTTTTAAAACATCCAAATAAGTGACATAATTCCATAAAAATGAGACATATTCACAGTGTTCTTGCCACCCACATTGCTCATATTCTAAGCTAGTTCTGCAGGGGAGCATTCGCACATATGCAAAGACCAGAAAAGAGTATGTGAAATGAAAATTGTTACAGTAATTAGAGTTGGGGATTCTGGGTAATGTTCACGTTAATCTCCAATGCTTATCTCCCACGCCACCCCTACCCAGTAATAAAAAGAAGGGGAGGTTACTGGGGACAGCAGGTTGCTTGTCTCATCTAGTTTCTTGCAAAAAAGCATTCTTTGTTTTATAGATCTCTAGGCTTTTTGGGTGTGCAGCTCCTGCTGTAGGTCACTATGAATGGATTCAAAGCTGTCCTTAGCTTCCCAGTGGAGATGAAGAGAGGAGAGAAGAAAGCATGGGACCCCTGCCTCCGAGGTAACTGCTGAGGCCACAATCAGATTGAACCCCATATAAGGAGGAGGCAGGTGGGCAGAGAAGGCCCCTATAACAGGTCTCTGCAGGTCTCTGAGGTATCTTTGCTGGCTCATGGGCTTCATTGATTATCTAATCTGACTTCGTCTCACTTCTCTGCAAACACACCTGTTCATTTCTGCATTCCTGTCTTTGAGCAATGCTGTGTCCCCTGACAGGAAGGCACTTCCTGACTTCCAGACAGGAACCTCCAAAACCTGTTAATTCTTCAAAAGCTACTAAATATTCGTTTCCTCTGCAAAGCCTTTCCCAGCTCGCCAGCCCCTTTGATCCCTTCCCTGAGTCCATAGAACACTTTCATTCTAGCAGTTTCACCCTACTAAGATCTCATTAAGTAAAATCTTAACGTAACCTCGCGTTATTTAGGGTACACAAATTCCTTTTATCCCTCAAGAGCAAGGACAGTGTCCTAAACAGGGCGTATGGTGGAAAGAGCCTAAGATTTAAACTCAGAGACACAGTATCCAGTCCCACCTCTGCCCCTAATTAGCGGTGTGACCTTGCCTACTTACTGGGAAGCTAATGGACTTAAGCTTCAAGGTCCCATGTTTGTGTGGGTCTTTTTTGAGATTCATCCTTAACTATATTTTCATAAAAAGGATCTTAAAATTTGTATAGGATTCAGACCTCATAAGAGCAGGATCTTCCCCTGCACCTCTCTCAACCTCAGTTTCTTATCAAAAACTAAATCCTGTCTCTTGGGGTTGCTGTATAAATTGGCCTGGGAGGAAATCTGTAAACTATAAGGCATGAATGTTAACGGTAATCGCATGGTGATAAACACATCACATATCCTGACTTGACTCTTCAACAATCAGACAACTTCCTCCAAGTTTCACCAGGCAGAAGACATCATAGGTAATAACAATCTCTTCCGCTCTCCAGGATTTATCTTATTTAATTGTCACAGCACCCCAGTGAGGTAGGTCCTACCATTATCCCTGTTTTACAGATGAGAATTGGCACTGGCAGAGAGAGGTGGTGGTCCTGTGATCACATACCACCTTACAGGGACAGATGACAGCGCCCAGGCAAACGCTCGGTGCTGACCGACTCCAGAGCCCAAATTCCCAAGCAGGATGGCGTTCTGCCTTCTCCCCGCCATGGCTGCTCTCCCCTCATCGAGCATGGACAAGGCCTTTCTAACCATGACTGGAATTAGAGCAAAAGGGTACTTTTTCTTCTCTTTGTGTCTGGGAGGTGGCCAGGAGGGAAAAATGAACCCAGTTGTCAGTGGGGTGATGCCCAAATGAGAAAGCAAAAGACCAACTGCTTTTAGGCCAACTCAGAGAGGCTGGTGCAGCCTGTGAGATGAGATGAAAGATTGGGCCTCATTATCAATGTGCTTAGTGACATTATTTTGGAAACCCAGAGAAGGGTTTCTATCTCCTGATTCTATCAAAGAGCAATTGTGTGTTCTTGTAAGTTAAACACAATAAGATAAGCCAGAATAACCCTTATCAATACAAACAGACCCTCTCTGTCCAGAAATGAGTCTCTCTGACCACATTCCGAGCAACTGCTAGAATTTCTTTCAATCAAATGGACAGCCCATTTCCGCTTCTTCTGACCGTTACTTTCATGTCACTACCAAATTACAGTTGGCCCGTAGGCAGATTACATTTTACAAAATGAAACCCATGAGATAACCTTATCGGAGTACTAGCCTCCTTGGTAAAGCTTTACCGATATAAAATTTTTCAAAGGTCCTTGTAAAATAATCTGAATGATTTGGCTTGGTACAAACTTGCTATCACTTTCCGAGTCTGAATAATTTCTCACCCCTGACTCCAGGAGCCTTTCTGTCATGTCTAAGTGCAAAGCTCTCCAGGGACAATGGAAGCAGATCTCAAGTCAGCCTCGGGAAGAGCTGCTGGACATGCTGTTCAGAACCCCGGTGCCCCAAGCAGGGGGAGTGGCGGGAACAGCCTGCATGTTGGGGCACAGCTGCAGGAGCGGCGTCTGGCAGCGCGGGCTCAGTCTCAGGCACTCAGTCACTCACTGGCAGAGACACTGGTGTTGGAGAAACAGCAGAGCCTTTGGAATAAGACTGGCCTTGGTTAAACTCTTGGATTTGCCAGGCACAAACTCTCTGGCTTTGGGAAGACAATGAACTTCTCGGAGCCTCAATTTACTCCCATGTAAAACAGGGATGGCAGGGTCGCTATAGGACAAAACCAGCTGGCCTGGAATGCGGCTGGCACAGCGCCTGGCACATGGCATGGGGCTCAGTGAAAGGCAACCCTTCCATGGGAGGAAGTCTTGTGCACTTTTAGCATGGATGCCCTGACACAGCTCCTCACTCCTGGTGGCAGGGACGCCGTCACAGCCTGTGGCCGCGGGCCTCAGCTCCAGCCCTGTGCATCATCCAGCTTCTGTCTGTCCCCTGGCTCCTGGCTATCTCCAGGTTGTACCCTGTGTCACAGGGAGTGTGGTTGATTCAGGAAAAGCTCCTTCATACCCCTGAAAGCAGCTCAACTCAAGGTGTCTGCTTGATAAGGAAGGATGTGGTTCCCACCTCACAGGGGGCAAAGGACGGGGCTGACGGGACTCATTCAGCTTCCCAGGTGCCCAACCTGACCATCAGGGTGCCCTTGGGGGGCTCTGCTCTCAGCTCCCTGCTTTCTCTTTGGCACGTCCCAGAATTCTACAAGAGAGCCCCTGCTTCTGCCAACTGGTGCTTCTGGGCCGTCTCCAGCCTCCTCTCTCCATCCTGCTCTCCGCAGATGTCCTTTCTCTTCAGACCCAATTTTCGCTTCTTGCCTCATCCCATTAGATTTCCACACTTCTGTCCAGCTAGGCCCTGGAATGCAGTCCTTATTCTCTCTGGCTCCCCACCCAACATTACAGCTCACCTGGCATCAGAAACCTAATTTCAGTCAATGCCCTGGCCCTCCACAGGCCGAGAAGTTGGGCTTGGCTGTTGGCCAAGTGGCTGAAGGGTCATCCCAGGCCTTTCTTCTTGCCTACCGCCCACCCCCTACACCCCGAAATCCAGAGCCACTCTTGTGGTGACTGCATCTCACCCCAGGCATGATGATTCGCTCAATGTCCCCAAAGATGTTGTCCCAGCTTTCAGGTTCCTCAGGAGCACTCTCGGGCAGCTGGGCCCGCAGGTAGCCAGGCTGCACAGCTGGAGTCACCCGTCGCTCCCGCACAGTGCTCAGGTACTGGCAGATGTAATCGACCATCTCTTTTCCTACAAGGGAGGCAAAGAAACCAGCCTCATGTCCCCTGACTGGGCCTGGCCATGTGTGCCTGTCCCTCTCGCGTCTGAGCTAAGAAACTTGCTGAAGAAGAAGATGGGATCATGGGTGGGTGGGGGTCTGACCCCCAGCATAGGCCTTATCTTCAGAATTTAAAAAAAAAACAAAAAAGAGTGAAGGAGTGAATGAATGATAGAGGGAATGTATGAGTGAACAAATGAACAAGAGGGAAAATCTCCAAAGCATAAAACATTTCTTTTTCATCTCCTTCCCTTATCCATATCAGCCTTGATCATCTCTTGCACTTTCTTTTTCTTCTCAAAAAACAGAACATCTGTTAACTCATTACCTTATAGGTTCAGTAGAAATTCTGTGGCTTTTTCTATCCAAAAATTGTTACATATACACACTCACACATGCACTCATGCACACACACTATACTCTTTGTTAGCACAGGTGGCAAGTTCCCATGGGAGGTTCTGATTAAAGGTGAAAAATCTATTTGTTCACCATTCCCATTGGACCAGTAATTCCTCACGTTTTTTAGACACATAAATTTCTTTAGGAATAGGATTAAAACTATAGGCTGAGACACACACACAAATTTTTTCCTATAATTTATGAGGTTCACAGAATCCCTAAAGCATGACCATTGGCCTCAACTAAGCACCCCGTGACAGCCTGAAACCTTGGCTCAGTCACTTCCTCTCCCTCCCTATGCCTCCACCAATACCAGTGTTCAGAACACTTTTCGGAGGCTTAAAAAAATTTTTGCCAAATGAATGAACAAATGAATAAGGAAGAAAGGTAGCCAAATCAAACACTCTGAGGCCACTGCCAACCATTTATTATCTCTTTCCTTTCTTTCCTCCATGAGAGAGTTATCAGTCTCCCAGGCCTGTGTCTGGGCCTCTTCTCTCTCTCTAGCTCTCATCTCCCTATCTCTGTCTGTGTTCACCTCTCCATCTCTCCCAATATCTGTAACTCCTCCTCGGTGCTCCTTAGCGTCCTTTTCCCCATGCAAAAGAAAGAAAATAGAGAAGAGGGGAGGGAAGCTGACTCTTTCCTCTGTACCACCTCATGCAATATTCTTAGGAGCAGGACCAGCCTCAGACAAAAATGTGAATGAGAGAAGATTTCACGCCCTTCTCTCACTTTGCTCTCCTTCAACCTTCCCACAGCCCGGTGCTTCTCATGCCTAAGCTGGACCACACCAGGTGTCTGAGACCCTGGACCTAGCCCTCCACTTTTAAGGGACAGTATGAAATGTAATTGTGTTCCACTCACAGGATAAATATCTGCAGGAACCTGTTCTGAGCTAACAGTGTCTTCGGAAAGCAATGATAGCAGCCAATGCATACTGCAGTTTAAAGGCTGACAGACACTTAGTGAGTTATGCCTGGGTGGGGGAGAGAGAGAAACTTGGATTTTTAACACAGGACAACACCTTACAGCAAAGGAATTTCAGGCACTATAACGTGGTAGTGGAGGAGGATATAAAAACTTTAGAGGGAGAGAAACTATAAGCAACTACCTACTTTCCCTCTTAGGAGAGCTCTGCCTGAACACAGGATAACCATTTGGTTTTGCTCAGAACACAAGGCTGGATACATAGCAAATGCTCACTAAATAGTTATGGGATATATAACTAAAAAGAAAAAATACTACTGATAAGATCACACTTAGAAAAATGAATGTTAAGAAAAAAATTTTGCAGTAACCACAGAATACTTAGATTTTTTTTCTATTTCAGTATATGAATAATTAATCCCACTGTTGCCATTTGATCAGGAATTCAAATCCTCTATTTTGTGGGAAAGTAGAAAGAAAAAGCACGACATGGTAGAGCAGACATATATGAGAGTGAGTATATGAGAGGGAAACGAAAGAGAGGGGGAGGCAAGTTTTAAACTCTGATCCCACATTCCTTTCTCAGGAAAAAATTTGAAGCAGCCAACTCTCAGAAGATAATTCTAACTCCCAGTCAAATGACACCACAGAATCTCAGGACCCACAACACACAGCAGTTCCTGCAGCTGGCGGCGAGGAAGAGGGAAGGATGCCCATCGCTCACCTCTCTCCCTGTACTCCTCTGGCTCCATCATCTCCCTCAGTCTCCGGCTCCTTCTCACAGACACGTTCGAGGTCAAGGTCGGAGGGGCACTGCTGGGCAGCCAGAGGGGCCCCTGTATTTAAAGGGTTCTCTTTTCTTCAACCTTAGCTCCACCCTTCAAAAGCCCTTCCCCTGGGCTGAATGAATCCACTCCTCCTTCCCCCAGCCCTCGTGAGAAACAGTGACCACCACTTTGGTCAAGAAATGGAGGATAAAACCATGCACTTAGAAACCCAAGCCTGCAGGCAGCCTCCAGGTAAACAAGGTGAAGAGCGCTCAGTAATTTCTGCTCCTGGTTTCAGACAAGCCCCAGCCTCAGACATAGCTCACAGCTCCGTAGCCCAGAACAAAGTCAAGGGTACGCAGCATAAGTAGCACAAATTATTAGTATTATTCCTGCTACTGCTTTCTGATCAGCGGCAGGGAGGAAGGAGCAGGCACTTAGAATGATGCTGACGCGCTGGGCTCAGGGAGAGGTAGATGTTACCATCTTGCACAATGAATGTTTTTATTACTACATAATACTTATTGTAAAGAGATGAGAAAACACAGAGAAGGAAAAAGAATAACAATCACCAAGCCTAATTGCTTTAAGCACCTAAGGGGGTGTGTTTGTTAGTATATGTATAAATACACACACAGAAACACAAATGCTCATAAAGGCGTTATTCATAATAGCCAAAAAGTGGAAACAGCCTAAATGTCCATCAACAGATAAATGGATAAATAAAATATGATATATCCATACAACAGAATATCATTCCACAGTAAAAAGGAAGTACCGACACATGCTATAATATGGATGAACCTTGAAAACATTATGCTAAGTGAAAAGAACCAGTCACAAAGGATCACATATTATATGACTCCATTTATTTGAAATGTCCAGAAGAGTCAAATCTGTAGAGACAGAAAGTAGATTGCTCATTACTAGGGGCTTGGAGGGTGGGGAGTAAGAGGTTGACGCCTCAGGGAACAGGGTTTGGGAGGCAGTTTGTAGGGACTTTCTGGAAGTGTTTTCAAATTGATTATTGTGATGGTTGTATAACTGTGAATATCCTAAAAGTACTGAATCGTACACTTTAAATTGGGGGATTTTATAATTTAGAATTATATGTCAATAAAACTTTAATTTACAAAGGAAAAGAAGAAGAAAAAGAAAGCTAAAGAAAAAGAAAAAAATGCCCTAGAAACATAAGACCTTTGGTGAAAAAATGGCCTGGTGGATGCGGACTCGAGTAACACTGCCAATAGTATAAATCGTTCATAAAAGTGGGAGTGGGAAAAATAAGGTTGACAGTGATAATAGCTGACATTTATTGAGCCCAAAGAAAGTACTAAGCACTGTTACCTGGCATATTAAAAAAGTTCCTACAAAAAATCAAGAAAACATTAAAATAACCCATAAAATTCAAAGTTATAATTCATATAATCAATCACTAGTAAGACTGGAATTGATGATATCAGGGATTTTCATCCACTGTCCTGCAAGAGTTTTTAAAATATGAAATACCTGACTATTTAGTCAGGGGCACTGACATCTTGTCCCTTAGGTTGTCAATCAAAAAATGACAACAGCCAACATAATAGTGGCCTGGTGTGAATGCCCTATCTTGAACCATAAATATATAGGTCATATAATACAGTTGCATCTTGTTGGTCATGTCTCAGAATACAGCTGTCTGATTGGTTAATTCTTGGTACCAAACATCCTTATTTACAAGTATAGGCACCTGATTTTTTTAAGTCACTTTGGAACAAAATGGGTAGGTAATTACTATTATTTTTTTATAAATCAATCAGGGGGAGGCAGAGACAAATGTATTTGAAAAAATAAATTAAAATAAAATTTTAAAAAATCAATCAATCAATCAAAATTGTACATACACCTATTTTTTTTTGTCAGATTGGCAGAAAATATATATTTTGGTGTGCCACAGAATTTTAGTAATTAGTTTATGTGTGCCATGAGATGAGAAAGATTGAAAGTCACTGTAGTATATAGTAGTATGTTTTTATATGTGGCAGAAACATATTACATGCCAAATGTGTACATGAGATATAAGCTATTCAAATGAAAAACCAAGTAAGCAATTAATAAAGTGTAGTGGACAAAATCGTAGAGATCAGGTCAAAATTTTTTCAGGAAGCATAAGGTAGTTTTTGGGGACTTACAGTGTATATCTAAAAACGAAGAGCCCCAGAAACTGCATCATGAAGCAAAATATTTTTGAAGGAGCTCAGGCTATCAAATGATCAAAAATTGTAAGACTATCTGTATACCTACATATTTGAAAAATACTATGAGTAAGTCACAAAAATATTGATACCAAAATTTTGACTTGGAACCAGAAGTATATTTCCAGTGATGATACTGTGTTTTCTATCAGGTTACACAGAGTAATCTGATAATGAATCAGAGAGCTTACGTCAAACTAAATCCATGTGCATTGAGATGTTCTCATAACATAGAGAAAGCAAATAGCAAACATCATTTAAAACTACAAGAGACGAGTTATCCATAATGAAATCCAAGTACAGTAAATATTACTTAACAGATATTTAATTTGTTCATTCCTAAGTTGATCTGACATGATGGAAAGAGTTATTTATTCAACAGAAACAAGATGAATGGAACGGATTTTTTTTTCCTGTTTGCTATATAAGCCTGAGTGCTAATGGCTTGGGAACCCATCCGTATGGAAATAAAGGTTCCAACAATCAGGTTGCTTTTACCTGAAAAGATTTTTCTTCTTGATGTATTTTGAGTCAGTTCTCAAAGTCTTCCTGGTATTAAAGCATAAAGAAACTATAGATTTTATCTGGAAGAAACTTTGTATAGAATAATGCAGAAAAAAATCAGTCACATCAGCATAAAGCATCCATGAGTATGTCTATCAACTAATCAACTCCTGTTATGGGCAAAGACTTCTTCTAATTTTTAATAAATAATGTCATGAATGATCATGTTCAAGAAATACAGGCTGGCATACATCTTCACAAGCAATGTTTTGGATAAATATATCTGTACACAAATATTTTTGTTATAAACAAGCATAGTCCAAATTATATGGGATTTTACATTTATTCCCTATCTCTTTAACTTTGCTTTTTTGAACATCACAGAAGACAGCTCTCCAACTGCCAGCACTCCACTACCATGAACAAAGAGAGCAATCCAGTGGCAGAGTAAAAGAATAGAATACTCTTTGACATTTACACCATAAGAAAATCATTCCTAGAAGCCAATGAAGAAAATGGCATCACAAGACCTTTGGAGAAACACAGTCCCTACAGATACAATTCATCAGATGGGGCGTTCCCAAAGCATCACAGATTCAACTTAGAATTTGTAATCCTAGAGTTCCAGCGACTATACATTAGGGAAGTGTTAAATCTGAACCAAGAAATTAAACAATCAAGACATCTACTGAGCTCTGTGTCTAAGACACTACATAATCAATACTATTCTAGATATATAGAAAAGAAACTAAGCCTGGCTGGTGTGGCTTAGTGGATTGGGTGCTGGCCTGCAAACCGAGGGGTCACCTGTTTGGTTCCCAATAGGGGCACATGCCTGGGTTGCAGGCTGCGTCCCCAGATGGGGGCGTGCAAGAAACAACTGATCAATGTCTCTCTCACACATGATGTTTCTCCCCCTTTCTCCCTCCGTTCCCCTCTCTCTGAAAATAAATAAAATCTTAAAAAAAAAAGAGAGACTAACTCATTACAAGAAATAAATTCATTAGGCCCTAACACACAGGGCATTAGGTTTTGATTCTCTCACAGACCCTCATTGAGAAAGGCTGCTCTGGGAAGTATTGTTCACACATAAAAGGACATAATCAACCATCAATGTGGCAAATCCATCACGACATAATGGAAACACATTAAGTGTAGATTTCTGAAAACTTATATTATTTTATTCTGTGAGGCCTTTTAATCCTTTGCTCAGAACACTAGAGACTGATTAGAATGTAAAGCTTTTCTAGCCCAACTGAAAACAGAAGCTTAAAAAACAAAAACAGAAAAAGGCAACTCATTGCTTTAGTTATAAACAATAATTTCATCGGACAGTGAATCAGGTAGAAGGTGATTTACACAGGCCAAAATAACAAAAATAAGGTCTCATAAAAGTGAATATCCATCTGATACAATCATAGACTTACTCCATTTAAGTATCCGTTATTTTCTGCCATCTATGCCACATTATGGATCTAAATTCTTTCCCTAGAAGAACGAGAAACTAGAAATCAAAGACATTACATTGCTTTTCAGAAGCTTGTTTCCAGCACTGTCTCAAGGCTCTTCAGGGCCATGCTAGTCTGGAGGTAAGACTGCTGCCTGTGGGATGGGCACGTTGGCCTTTCTCCACCTCAACACTTCGAGACTGCAGGTCTGGGCACCTGCCTAATGTAAGCCCATAAATGCACTAAAGTAATGAATAACAGACAGAAAAAGTAGGTTTCATGCTACTGAAAATATGACCTAGCATTTGTAAAATATACAGTTTTAGATGATTTTTAAGTATATTTTATTGATTATGTTACTACAGTTGTCCCGTTTTTTTCTCCCCTTTATTCCCTTCCGCCATGCATCTCACCTTCCTCCAGTATTCCCCACCCCCATAGTTCCTGTCGATGAGCCATACACACAAGTTGTTTGGCTTCTCCATTTCCTGCACTATTCTTATCTTCCCCCTATCTTGTACCTACCAATTATGCTTCTGATTCCCTGTACATTTTTCTCCTACTCTTCCCCTTCCCCCTCCCCACTGATAACCCTCCCTGTGATCTCCATTTCTGTGAATCTGTTCCTGTTCTAGTTGTTTGCTTACTATGTTTTTGTTTTCTGGGGTTTTTTTTGTAAGTTCAGTTGTTGAGAGTTGTGGGTTCATTGTCATTTTACTGTTCATAGCTTTGATCTTCATTTTCTTAGATAAGTCCCTTTAACATTTCATATAATAATGGCTTGGTGATGATGAACTCCTTT